TTTGTGAGCAGTCATCTCTGTGAAAGGTAGATTTTTGTGAGCAGTCATCTCTGTGAAAGGTAGATTTTTGTGAGCAGTCATCTCTGTGAAAGGGTAGATTTTTGTGAGCAGTCATCTCCGTGAAAGGGTAAATATAGCCTGGTGTAGTTGTCTACATTGCAAAGTGAATTTTGCTGCCCACCAGAAGATTCCTTGCTCCTTGGATCTCATCTGGCTGATTATGGGTTAAGGAAAGTACTGGAAGTCTTGGACCCAGCCAGGATGAATCACAGGATCACCGAGGTTGGAAAAGACCTCCCAGACCACTGAGTCCTGTGACCCATCCCCACCTTGTCCCCCAGCCCAGAGTACTCAGTGCCACATCCAGTCATTCCTTGGACACTTCCAAGGATGAGGACTCCACCACCTCCCTGGGCAGCCCCTTCCAATGCCTGACCAGCCCTTCCAGGAAGAAATTCCTCCTGATATCCAACCTGAACCTCCCCTTGAGGCCCCATCCTTATGTGGCATCAGGACCTCCGTGACCAGCAAGGATTCCTGCTGCTTGCTTTGCAAGGGTTGAAACTGAAACCAAAAGCCATTGATGAGTTTTGTTGATGCTCTTCAAGGCCTCTTCTTTCCTTCTGTCCTCTCTTACTGTAGTTTAACTACCTAAACCTTTTTAAAAAAAACATTTATTTGCTTCTCTGGTCCCAGTTGCTTGTCCTTTTAGGAAGGCAAAGCTTTAGGATTTCAAAGCTTCCAGGCATTGTTGCTTTCTGACCTTTCCTGTTGGAAAGATTCCTTTGTCCAAAAACCAGTATTTTGGAGTGACACAGAGTCCTCTGAACAAGGATGGGACCATCTCTGGTTACAAAACCACCACTCAATCCCTGCCAAACCTCTCCTTGTCTCCAAAGGCCTTGGGCAGTTTGGAATGTGAGGTAGGACCTGCAGCTGTTGGGCTCAGGATCACATGAGAAGTCTTCATCTGTGAGAATTAGATTTCAGGCCCTTTGGTTGCCAGGAGTGGTCAGGAATGTGACCTGTGGTTTCTGAATCTTTGCAAGAAATGGAAAGGAATTTGCCTGGGAACAGCTGGTCCGATGACTCCCAGAAGGTCAAGCTCATATTTACGTGCTTGAGATGTCTCTTGTTGAGTTTCAGCCTCAAGTTTAAGGATGCTCAGAGGTCCTCTTTATGTCTGTTCCTCTTGTGCCTGCAAACAGGAACCTCACAAGGTGTCCTTCATTCCTGTGGCTGCCTGTTCATTACACATCACCCTTGATTTTTGGGTTTTGCATCCTCTTTCTGTCCTTATCTCTGCGCTGCAAATGGTGCAGAAAGCAGATGTTAGATAAGATCCCAAAGTCATTGAGAGACCTTTTTTTGTTTCATCCCAGGGACAGAGATTTTCGGTGTTGCATCAATAACCTCTAAGGCCAAGTCCTCCCTTCTCTGATCCAACTCCTTGGCTTTTACCTCTCTCAGCAAGGGACCGATGCTGCGAAAGCTTAGATGGGAATTTAGGAGCCTGTGTGGGATTTCACTGCCCTGGGCCCTTCCAGAAAGGAGAATTGGGCATCTCTAAGCTTGTCCAAGTGTTTTGCAGCAGGAGCACCATCAAGGAGGGTGGCACAAGCAGACCACCTTGAAACAGAGCTGTTGCAAGGTTTTCTTGGAAAAAGACTTTCTCCAGTGTATCTGTTCTGTGGGAAAATTTGTGTTCTCCTCGAGCAGTATCAGCCGTTGTCACTCTCCCTCTCTCCTGTGTGAGATGAGCTCACTGGGGAGGCAACATCAGCCAGAAAACAGGAAAGGGAAGCGAAGCTACTTCACAGGCCCTTAAATTCATGTTCTGACACTTTAATTCTCTTTCTGGCTGCTTTTTGTTTTGGCCTGGTGTGTTTTTTCCGACGGAGATGAGAGGGGGTGAGTGGATGGAAAAGAAAGAAGCTGTTCTGTCAGCAGGGCTTGTTAAAGCAAATTTCAGTGTCTCGGTTCCTGCCCTCCTGTGCTGCTTCTTTTTGTAATCTGCTACCATTAATTGGCTCAGAGTAGCATATTATTGATTCAAACCTGCAACCTGGGGAAAAAAACCCCAAGTGCTTCATGTTTTCCTGCCCAAGACATGATGAGTTGTGAAGACAAGTGATCATCGTGAAGCTCATTAGGGACATAGTCCAGAGTACCTATAAAGTTGGTGTTAAAAAGGCAGAGATGGGGGTTTATGAACCCTAAACATACAGTTTCTGCCTTGATCCTCTTCCAGGCTTTTGGGACTGGTAAAACTGTGGAAAAAACTTCTTGTATTTCCTTTTTTTTGACGATGCCAAAAATGTCTGGTGGCGCGTTGGTGCTTCTGGTCCCAGGTGAACAAAGGAGTGTGGTTGTGCAAAATCAGAAGTTAACAACCTACTTACATGTGTAAAGTGTGGACTGAATTTCTGCTTTTCAGCATGGAAAGAACTAATGGAACACATGGCTGATGTGAGTGGGGTTTCAGTGCTTTTTGGGCTGCACTAATGTGGGTTTTGGTGTGTTTTGCACTAGGTGTTATTGGAAACAACAAAGCTATAGGAAAATACATCACCACTATGATATTTCTGTACTTTGCCTGCCTCCTTCCATCCATAGCCTTTGGGTCACTCAATGATGAAAATACACGAGGAGCTATCGGTGAGTTGATCAGTTCTGTGCATCTCATTCCATGTGTTTAAACTCTGGACACACGAAGTTTTCATAGTTTTTATTTACTGAAGAAAAAAAAACCCCAACCTAAAACCACGAGTGAAGGGGGTTTGTTTTCTGATTAATTCATGACTTTCTTAGAAGACCAGGAAAATTGAACACTGCTTTGGATAATATCATATGACTTAGACTGATATGGACATATCCTACTGTATTTAAAATTATGCTCGCTTTAGAACTATGTAATTAATCTGCACATTTTTCCTGGTAGAAGTTCCTGCACTTTTGATCTGAATTTGGTTGCCAGTATCCAGATCACTGCTATAGAGCAAAAGCATCATCCTTTATCCCAGCTGTGGCCCTGAAGCGTTTCATGATGCTGTCACAGCTCATAGGAATCTATGTCCAGATCTTGTCCTGGAGACCTCCACAAACGCTGGTTAGGTTTTGTAGCTGTTTAAAATAAAATAAATATATTTAAATATATAAATAAACACCCAAACACCGAAAAAAACGCTAAACCAAAACCCACACTATTATATATAAAGTCACCTATTCTAGCTGAATATCTGGAAGCCTAAATTGCTGGTACAAGTAAAGAATCACTTTTTGCTTTCAGAACGTCTTACCTCTCTGTAAACTCTACACATTGTTCCTACTAATTAGTGATTGGCTTTTCTGCCCTATGAGTGTTCCTTGACTGGGGGGTGTTGATTAAAATCCCTGCTTGTTTATCTCTTTCCAGATGTGAGGAAGACAATCGTGGGGCAGTGCATTGGGGGGCTGCTCTACGCCCTCTTCTCGGGGCAACCTCTGGTTGTCCTCCTTACTACAGCTCCTTTAGCACTCTACATCAATGGTGAGTCTACTCCAGGTGTAAATGAGGGGTCTGGTGGCATTGGTGGGGTGGGGCTTTGTATGAGAACCCTGCAGTCCTGTTGGAGCTTTAGTTGTGTTTGTTTAATAAATGGATATTAAAAGGAAAAGGTTCTTCTCCCAGAAGGTGGTCGGGCACTGAACGGGCTCCCCAGGGAAGGTGGTCATGGCACCAACCTGCCAGAGCTCAAGGAGGGTTTGGACAATGCTCTGAGGGACAGGGTGGGATTCTTGGAGTGCCCTGGGCAGAGCCAGGAGTGGATGGTTCTTGTAGGTCCTTTCCAACTCAGACTATTCTGTGATTTGGGTGCTGAGGGAGAGGGAAGGAATTTGATTCAAGTCTTGTCAAATCACGGAATATCCTGAGTTGGAATCATAGAATCAACCAGGTTGGAAAAGACCAACCCTTGATCCAACTCCACAGTGGTTCCCAGACCATGGCACTGATGCCACATCCAGTCTCACCTTAAACACCTCCAGGGATGGTGACTCCACCCCCTCCCTGGGCAGCCCATTCCAATGTCTTGATTACTCTCTCTGTAAAAAATTTCTCCCTAAAAGAAGAGACCCACAAGGATCATCAAGACCAACTCCTGGTTTAGTTGAAGTTGTTTTCTAAATAAATCCCTTTTGCATAGGAAAAACTTCATTAAAATAAGCATTTTTTCAGCTTCCATGAGGAAATCTGTTTCATTAATGACTTTCTCATATGGCTGCATTCAACCAGCTTGAGGATAAGAGACTTTCCCTAGGAAAGGTGCTTTAAGCAGTGGGAGAGAATATTTTTCCAGGTGTTTCTCCCCATTCCTAGTGGGAAGAGGAGAGCAGTTTGGGTTGATCCAGTGTCCCTCTGGGACTGCAGGAACGGGGGTTTAATGGTGTGTGTGCACTGGGGGCAAAGGCTTGGAATAGGTTCCTTGTGCCGTGGAGCAGATGGGAATCACAGGGTGGTGATGACACAAGTTTAATCTGACACATGGATGCTTCCCTCCTGCAGTCATCCGAGGAATCTGTGATGACTACCACTTGGATTTCAGTGCTTTCTATGCCTGGATTGGACTGTGGAACAGCTTCTTCCTTGTGATGTACTCCCTCTTTAATTTCAGCCTTCTGATGAAGCTCTTTAAAAGGTAGCTATTTTCAAAGGGGTCTTATTTTGATCAGATTATTCAGCAAATGGAAAAATTATACATTCCACAAGCTCCTTAATTACAAACTTGCTGCAAAAATGTATTTTCTGAGATGAGGCAAGTATCATTTTGGCTTATTGTTCCAGCTTGAAAGAAGCTCTCAAAGATTCACTGGGTTTTCTTTCCTAAGCTGGAGTTCAACTAAAATGGGTGTATTTTCATGTAAATGGATGAATATGCTGATTTTTTTTCTTTGAACGGAGTCGAATGCAGCTGTATTAATTCCTGGGATTTTTCCACAGGTCAACAGAAGAAATAATTGCACTTTTTATATCCATCACATTTGTGCTTGATGCCATCAAAGGCATTACGAAAGGTAAGTCTTGCAACACTGTTTTTTGGTGCAGATCTTTGCTTTGCCTCCTTGTCAAAGGGAAATACAGGGCTGCAAATGTGTGTGATGTTTTGCTTGTTCTGTGTTCATTCAAAGTCTTCAGGGGGAAAAAAAAAAAGAAAATCAGTGTGAGAGACTGAAGCAGCCCTTTGTCAGCACTTTTACCTGGATGTGCAGAATTTCCATCGGCTCTAATTTCAAGTCAGTTGAGACAGATTTAGTTTCTAAACATTCACCTTAAAGTTATTGATGTGAAAGTCTTCTCCTGGATACCAGTGTCTTTTTGAATGGTCCTGGCAAAACCAAAAAAGTCCAATTTCAATGCAGTGTATCCGGGGGTTTTTTCCATGGTGGATTACTCAAACTACAGGGGTGGGAGTTGAAAGATGGGTTGAGGTTTCCCATTTTCACATGAGCTTCAAGACCCTTCTTTAATGACAGCAGTGCCTTTAAAGGCAGTGCCTTCCAGCAAGCTCCTAAAGCTGCTTTATGGCCACTTGGTCCCCATTTTTGGTTAAATTCTGAGTGTGCATGAAAAGCCTTGGGGTTTGATGAATTCCTCCCTTCCTCCCCACCAGGATTGGCAAGAGGTGCTTGTGCAGGTGAACTGTGTTAGCAGAGATATCACGTGAATGCCGTTTCTGTTCATCTCAGTGAGGAGTTGACCAATATCCCATTCCTTGATTTTTATGACCTACTGTCCAACAGCCCTAAGTTTGGGCTGTCCCTTGAATCCTTCAGGATATATCTAAGCACATTCCTTGTTTTTAAAGATAGTCAGGCTTGGTATCTCTCATGCAAGGAGAACACCTTCCAAGAGCGGGTTTGACACTGCGAAGCAATTTGAAGTGAGATACTTTTCTTGCTTCATTGGGAATCCTTAATTTGCCCTATGTGTGCTTTGATTGTGCAATCAGAGGGGCTTTTTTTCCTCTGCAGAACACCTGCATCTCTTAAATCTCCTGCTTAGATAAAGCTTGGTGAGGGAGAAGTTGCTCTGGGATACTTGTTCAGAGCATCCACTGGTCTTGTCTGCCAGACTGTCAGGAATACGCAAGTAATACCTCAGAGTATTGCAGTGGAGACAGAAGTTGATGAAGGGGAGTGGCCTTAAACTCACAGAAGGCAGGTTTAGATTAGATATTAAGCAGAAATTCTTTGAGGGTGGTGAGGCCCTGGCACAGGTGGCCCAGAGAAGCTGTGGCTGCCCCTGGATCCCTGGAAGTGTCCAAGGCCAGGTTGGACAGAGCTTGGAGCAACCTGGGATAGTGGAAGGTGTCCCTGCCCATGGCAGGGGGTAGAACTAGATGGTCTTTAAAATCCCTTCCAACCAAACCATTCCATGATTGGTGTAATTAGTGAATTAGTTGAATTCTCCCTTGTACTCTTGAAGGGCTGAGTTTATAGGAATGATGGTAATAAAGTCAAACCAACTCTCATTTGCCAGCTCCTGTTGGCTTCAGGCATCCACAGAGCGTTCAGAGCATCCACAGATGGGAGCCCAGACACAGGAGGACACCAGTGCTGGCAGGCACAGACTTTATCCTTCACCCTCTTAGAGCTCATATTTAAAGATATGACACCAGTGCAACTCCCAGCTCCATCTTTGGCTTTCTTCTTCCCCTCCTGTTTTGTAGCAGGAGGTGATGGTTGCTGCTGCTGCCACTTCTTCCTCCCACTCAAACCTTAACTGCTCAAATCTGAGCGAAATAAAAAGTCCAATTTAAATGCAGTGCATCTAGGGTTTTTTCCTAGATTTTGAACTGTAAACCTTCTGTGATCTTTAAATTTAAATACAGATATACTCAGTGTGAGGCAACTGGTCTTTTCCCTCGTGACCCACTTGCCCCGCTGACCTCATCCACCTGTGGAGTGCCCAGCCTCTTTTGAAATCTTAAAAGATGGTACAGGACAGTTTATTACTGCCTTTAAAATGGCCTCATGGCTGAACATGGGGCATTTTACACTGGGCTGAACTCCAACCCAAATCTGAGCAATTAGGAAGAAGATGAAGCCGGGATCTTCTCCATGCTGTTAAATATGTCGCAGCTATCCAGCTGACATCACCTTTGGGGCTTCCTTAGTGCCAGGGGACATGCCACCTTTTCCCAAATGTTTTCCTCAGCCTGGTCCCAGCCTTGATTTTTTGGAAGGTCCTGGTACACATACAGGAAAGGAGGGGGAGGGCCATGGCAGTGCACAGAGGAACCCAACCCTGAGCTGTCGCCCCGTCCTGGTGACACTTGTTTTCGCTGCGTGGCCTGGCCACCAAAGCTGTGTTTGTTTGATCTTGACATCTGCACTCTGCAGGAAACAGTGGGGAGCCAGCTGAGGAAAACAAAGCCTGCTCATGTTGTTGGAGGGAGCGTGAGCACACGCCAGGCTGGAGAAGGGCTCGGGTCCAGCCAGGGCACCACCGGCTCCGCTGCTCTCTCTGAATGCTGGCAACGAGGTCCACTGAGCTCTCCTATAAAAACAAACTAGAAATGTGCAGGAATCAAATCCTTTGTAGCAAGTTTGTGGTGCAGGATGAAGGCCTTCACTGGCCAGCTTGGCATGTTCCCATGGCTTTAATTAAAATACAAGAATAAAGCGAAGTCACAGAATTATAGAATTTCCTGAGCTGGAAGGGACCCATCAGGATCATCCAGTCCAACTCCTGGCCCTGCACAGGACACCCCAACAACCCCACTATGTGCCTGAGAGTGTTGTCTAAACACTTCTGGAACTCTGACAGGTTTGGTGCTGTGACCACTGCCCTGGGTCAGATTTTTCCTCTATCCAGGATGGACTGGAGCAATCCTGCCTGGTTTGGAGGTGGGGGTACAAACTGAATTGCATCCTCAGAGGTAGCATGCAATGATCTGCTCAAGCTGAACACAGGGCACCAAAGATCAGCCCTAAATATATTATTGCCATATAGACTAGTGTGGGAGATTGAGGAGATCCACAAGACCCAAACCAAAGTCACTTGTTTCTTGTTTGTTCCAGTTCAGATCTAAATACAGAGGTGTAAAAATAGGCTTTGTGTAGTTCTTGGGTTGTCTGAGCTGTTCGGTTCTCAGATGCTCAGTAACTGTGGATGTCTCTAGGCCTCAGTAACCCTTAGTCAGTTGTGATGGTGAACAGGCTTTTCATCCTGGCCAGCTGCTAATTCCCAGGAAATGCTTCCACAATCACAGCATCCGTTGATGCTCAGAGCTTAGAAGTACAAATCCTCCAACAACCCATCCCGTGCCAGTGTGTGGGTCAGGGCAGTGCTGAGGCCTCAGTTTACCTGTTTGCAGAGCAGTGGTGGGTGTCCTGCCAGGGCTGGACACAGCTGTGAGGATGGAGGGAGGAAATGAGAGCAGAGCCTCTTCCGTAGCACGAGATGTGGAACACACAAACCTTCCACAGGGCTTTTAAATCCCCCCAGGGATGGGGACTGCCCCCTGCCCTGGGCAGCTGTGCCAGGGCTGGACAGCCTTTTCCAGGAAGAAATTTTCCCAATATCCAATCTGAACTTCCCTGGCACAGCTTGAGGTCATTCCCTCTCCTCCTGCCCCTTGTTACCTGAAAGCAGAGCTTGACCTGCCCCAGCTCCCCCCTCCTGTCAGGGAGTTGCAGAACCAGAAGGTCCCCCCTGAGCCTCTTTTTCTCCAGGCTGAGCCCCCCCAGCTCCCTCAGCTGCTCCTGCTGCTCCAACTCCTTCCCTGAACGTGCTCCAGCCCTTATTGTCTTCTGAGGGGCCCAAACCTGCCCCAGGATTGGGGTGTGACCCCACTAGTGGAGGTTGGAATGAGATTGCTTCTTACTTGAGGGGTCCTTTCTCCTGCTTTAGAGGTCATCTCCTCCCTTCTGGCTGCTGTTGGTGCAAACTGAGTGGTTAAATTTGGAACTGTAAACCTTCTGTGATCTTTAAATTTAAATACAGACATACTGAGTGTGAGGCAACTGGTCTTTTCCCTCATGACCTACGTGCCCTGCTGACCCCATCCACTTGTGGAGTGCCCAGACTCCTTTTTAACTCTTAAAACGTGGTACAAGAAAGATTATTACTGCATTTAAAGTGTCATCGTGGGGTATTTTACACTGGGCTGAGCTCCAGACCAGCAGTAACGCAAACTGTGCTTCTCCCAGACTCAAAGTGGTTGCAATAATACCAATCTTGCTTCGCAAGAGCGTTCAAAGTTTGTTTTCCTCGTTTTCAAATATTATAATTAGTTTGTCATCCATGTTTTCACTGTTGCTGCTGCAGGTAGAAAACCTGAGGTGCTTAGGACTTTCAGAACTTTGATTATTATTTGGAGATGGGGGGAAATGTTATAGAAGGAGTATTATAGGCTAAGCTTCAGGTTATTGTATTGTTGCCTAAAGGGGATGGTTTTGTCCTTAACTTTTGAGTTTCCTTAGGGGAGGTTTGAAGGGGTATTTTGGCTAAAACAAAGATAGAGGGACTGCTAAGCTCTGATGTGGTGGTTTCCATTCTCCTCTGTCTTCCCCTGGTATGGGGAGAGTGGGTGCTGTGTGTTGTCATCTGAACACATATCCTGGGAGTCCTGAGGCTGCAAAGCCCAACTCCCATCTTCTGGTTTTACTTTCTCCCTGTGACTCCTCAAGCTGTTGTTCCCCAAAGAAGTGAAATGATCCCAAAGTCATATTTATACACTTGGACCTGGAAAATACCGTAGAAACAGGGACATAACTAAATGCTCGAGCAAGAGTATCTTTACAACTGCTGATTACTCATATAAAAGCCTCTGAGCTAACCTCAGACATTTATGGACAGTTCCAGGGGCTTTGCTGGGGGTTTTGCTTGTACAGGTTCACTTTGTGTTGCTCTGTAATTCTGTTTCAATTTGCAGTGTAAATTTAAATGTTCTGCCAGGTTTTGCATATCATCAACACTTATCTTTAAAATTTGGATTAGCTTTGGAGGAAAGGTAATTACTGTACCCTTTATAATATACTGAAGGATCAGTGCAGCCTGGCTGCTCTTAGTGTGTTCAGAGAGTTCTGATGGAATTTGCTCAGCAGGATGCTGGAAGTAGGTGTCTGTATATAAATATATTTATCTCAGAGCAGTGATTCCAGTGTTGGGAACAAAACCACATAAATAATTAGCACTGGAAGTCCTTACCGTTGAAACATGTTGCTGTATAGATTAATTCAACTTTTACCTGGTAAAATAAGTTAAAAAAAATCCATTTGCGAAGTGCTGGCTTTGTAAGAGAAGCAATTCTGGTTTCTTTTCACTGCTTTGAGAGGTAGAGCTGTAAACCTGGTGAAGCATAACGTTAATACTGCATGATCAAGCAAGAAAGAACCACTTTATTTTACTTGCTTTGGTTGTCACAACCCTATCCTAATGCTTGCCTGTTGGTTGTTTGTACAGTTTTTAAGAAATATTACTACTATGGGAGCAAAGGAGACAATTACTTGGGACAAGAAGGAGCTGATGCTATTTCAAGCCTCGGCATCAATACCACCTTCTTGATGAATTCATCAGTGAGCAGATCCATGTCCCTAGAGAATCAGACATGCACTCATGGTGTGCATTATGGACGTGAAACTGCCGTCCTTAGTCTCATGTTGATGTTGGGTACCCTTTGGCTTGGCCATACGCTCTATCAGTTTAAGAAAAGGTGAGTTGCTTCAGCCTCGGAGCTCAGACTGCTGATTATTTCATGTTACCTGTTGCTTAGATCTTAATCCTGTAACCCCCGAACTCTTCCATTAACGATGGTGGAAGCCAAAGCCAGAGATGACACTCGGGGGGCCACCTGGAAAGTGTCGCCAGAGAACATGGTGTTCACTCACTGGCCTCACAAACGACTTTCTAAAAACCTTTGGGTGAACCATGTAATTCACATTGGGATCCCTGTAACTCCCTCCAAACAGGCATTGAACTGTTTTGGTGGGCAGAAAATCCCTGATGGTGCTGGAAGGTCTATTGGAATGTTCTCTTGGGAGATAAATGCCCAGCTCTGATTTGGGTTTTACTCCAATTCTCTTAAAGTTTTTCATTTGAAATGCAGTAAGCAATTAAAGTAAAGTGGAAATGACACACAAATGGGTGCTTGGAGGCCTTTTTTTTCCAGCTTGCAGCTTAGTTCTTTGTTTCTTGGTGTTTTGCTTATGCTTTCATCAACCTTTGAAGGCTGTAGATTCCAGATGACTAAAGGCTGAATTAGACCAGTTCTTCACTCCATGTGTCTCTTTAAAATTGCAAGATGGGACAGAATTTTCACTTGTTAGACCATTAATGCTGTCTGGATTAATCACTGAGTGATTGTCAATCCATGTGATGTTGATGGAGTTCTTCTGTCTTTCCATTGCAGCCCCTATTTGCACGCGAGAGTCCGTGAGATCCTGTCCGACTGTGCCTTACCCATTTCAGTCCTGACTTTCTCTGTTGTGGGTTCCTGCATCTTCAAGGAAATCGAAAGTAAGTTCTATTTTTGTTATGAAAAAGAGAAGTGAAATCCTAGAGGGGTTTTGCCAAAAAAAGAGCAAAATTCTTCAGTATAATTTCACAAACCCTGCGTGTACCTCCCACCACTCCAAGAGCTCTGATTTCCTCACGATGAGATTTCTTTCATTTAAAACCCAAATCAAAAGAGGCTGAGTCAAGTTTTTTCTCCAGAAAAATTATCTGAATGTGTCTTTTCAATGAACCTAAAGTGTGTATATCTTACAATAAGGAGGATCAACACTTTCTGGCAGAGTAATTATGAGGCTGGGAAGGGTTGTTGTTGGTCATACCACCATAGAATTGATGGTTCCAATCTGTCCTCTGTGTCTCCAGTTTAGATTTTCCCAGTTTAGGCGAAATGGTGCAGAGCATCTGGGCAGTTCTAAGCTACATAAGGAAATCTAAAAATGAGACACCATTCATTGGCCAAATAGATCAACTTTTCCATATCAGGAAGTGATAATGGGGACAGGAATTGCATTGTCCTGCAGTGACGTGAGTGGGTGATGTGAGGAAATGTATGGAAACAAATAAGAAATGGCTTTTTTGTTTTTTCTGTGATGGCCATTCCATCCAGTTGGATTGTAAAATGGTGTGTGACCATGTGTGCTTTATCCCTAGTCGTGGATTGCTTCCAATGGCAGGAAAGTAGGGGCATTTTATACTGAAATGGCTTGTTGGGTATGAGGAAGTTTTCAAATGCCTGAGTTGATTAGCTGCTAGTTAGAAATAAGGTTTTCTAATCTAAAACCACTTTGCATCTGTGGAAAACAAGTTTCCCTCCTTTGTTTTGCTCAACCACATGTAATGCCTCGCTAGAACTAGCAGTGATCTGTCAAATCAGGAAGGCAGCCAAGTTCTGAGTGGATGGAGGAAAAACATAAACCAAAACAGCCAGATGGAGCTGTCTTCCATGGCCTTCTGGCTCCCACATGCCAGAGCATCTCCCCTGGTTGGCTGCACTGGCTCCCAGGAGTTTGTGGTGTGGGTAAAACACGGAGTCCGCGCGGATGGTTGGACGAGAAGGTGCCTCCTGACGTCATTCCCGTCCTCTTTCCAGTGTCCAGTTTTAAGTACGACACGGCTGACAGCTTGTTCGTGCTGGCCCCTGTGCAGTCCCTGTCCATCGGGTCGGTGATGAGCGCCATGGGCCTGGGCTTCCTCCTGTCCATGCTCTTCTTCATCGAGCAGAACATCGTCGCCTCGCTCACCAACGCCCCGGAGAACAGGTAACGCGTGGGGCTGGGGCCGGCACTGCTCACCCAGAGCTTGTCCCAGCATCACAAAATGTGTGTTTGCAAGAACTCCTGTTGCCACAGATGAAAGTAGCTCTGCTCCTTGACTCCTCCCCATCCCCAGTGTTGTGGCAGTGAGCCAAAACCTCAAAGCATCCGTGAGCTCACCACCTCAGCCCGTTTCTTCTTTACCTTCTGCTCATCACCATTCTTTTTCTTCCCCCCTAAAAGTCTCAAAGTGTTTTTCAGAAAGAGTTTTGGGAGCCAAGGTGTAGTGTGGTGAATGTTAAGTAGGTATTTTGCATGGGTTGAGGTCTGTGGATGCACCTCTGGATATTTAGGGAGCGTCTGACACGTGTGGACAGTTGCACTACCCTTGCAGCACAGAGAATTTGTTGAAAATGAGAAGTCAACGACCTACATAAATGTCGTAGGAGCTGAGCATCAGAAGTGTCTGGAGCTGTTAGCTCCCAACTGAAAAAGGTGGAAGTGGAATAAAACAGTATGTCCTGTGTCTGATAAGTCTTAATTTATGTGCGAACTTGAGATGTTGCTATTAAAATATTCTCTCTGATGTTTTTTGTGCCAACTGCAGTCAGATATGATATCAAGAATGATAGCGTATGAGTTTTTTTCCAGGGGAAACTACCATGTCTCCAAGGGTTTTTTGCTAATGTAATGCGTGGGAGGGTTCTCTCCTTGCATAATATACATTAGCATTCTCCATGTTGTACTGGAGTCACACAATCTTAGGGGAGAGGAGACAAGCTCCAATTCAGTTACACTAATTTAGTTCCCTTTGACCACTTCTTATCTCCATTATATCCCTTTAAGTGTTGCGTAAATCTGTATGTAAGTGGGTCATCTCTTGGCTAATATGAATTTCTTCTAAACTTGGTATTTTCCACTGGAGTGTCCTTAAGCAATGTGAAACATTGTGTGGAGTTGTTCAGGGTGTTTTTCAAAATGCCTCCTTACAGGGCTGAGCTGATGCTGATCCAGTGTTGAGGCAGGGGTTTTTAGAGATGGAAAAACTTGAACTTGACCCTTTCTATTTGTTGGTGCCATCAGAGAATAAAATACTGTTGTCTCTACCAGCCAAATGGAGAATGTGCTCTTGGTGTCTTATCAGATGTAGTTGTTTCCTTTTGTAGAAAAAAAAAAAAAGACAGGGAAAAGATGATATTTGCCTGAAAGTACCTGATGTGTTTTGCTGAACAACAATCAGAGCAGGTGTAAAGGACAGTCCAAAGAATACTGGGCTGTTTGAGCAGTGTGAAGATAACCAAGGATAAGACATCCAGATCTTTGAGCTAGACAAGCTCAGAGAAGCCTGTCCATGGCTCAGAGCAAGTGTACAACACACACAGTGCTGGGTCCAGTGTCCTGAAGATCATCATAGGGTGGTTTGGCATGGAAGGGACCTTAAAGATCATCTACTTCCAACTGTCCACTTCCAGCACCTTCCACTAGACCAGGTTGCTTAGAACTCCTTCCAGCCTGGTCTTGAACACTTCCAGGGATGAGGCAGCCACAGTTTCTCTGGGCAACCTGTGCCAGGGACTCACCACCATCACAGTAAAGAATTTGTTCCTGATATCTAATCTTAACTTGCTCTCTGTCAGGTTGAAACCATTCCCCCTTGTCCTGTCACTCCAGACCCTTGTAAATACTCTCTCTCCATCTTTCCTGTCGGCTCCCTTCAGGCACTGGAAGGCCACAATGAGGTTGACCCCAAAGCCTTCTCTTTTCCAGGCTGAACATTCCCAGTTCTCTCAGCCTTTCCTCAAAGCAGAGGTGCTCCATCCCTCTAATCATCTTGGTGGCCTCCTCTGGACTCTCTCCAACAGGTTTTTGTATAACCTTTGTACTTGGAGCCCTCTGCACAGGGCAGACAGGACAATGACACAATAACCCTGGGGATGCTGAGGGTGCCTTTGCTCTGAGAAAGCAGCACATGAGCAGGAGCTGTGGTTTCAAAGCAGGAAGTGTGTTTACAATCCCACCCTTCCTGCCAGCACCTTCCAGCTCAGAGGCACTGCAGTGTGGACATCTACCTGACCTGGTCACCCCGTGGCCTCCTCTGTCAGTGGAGGTGAGCACTCCCAGTGAGATCAGTCCTTTTGTTCCAAAACTGAACCCCACCCGAGATTTCTGCTGCCCAAACAATGGCATCTGCTGCTCTTTGAGGTAGATACTGGCCTCAGATCTCCATGTGCTGGGTCAGATCTACCAGCTCCACGCACCTCATGTCATAGAGTATCTTAGATGGCTCCAAGTCTGTGCTTAGGTGTTGAACTGAGCTTGTTTGGGTGGCATTAAGACACCTAAATAGTGCTGCCTTTCCAGCTGATGATGCCCAGAGAGCAATTCAGCTGAACTCTGTTGTTGTGTGAGGATGGCTGGGCAGAAACACAGCCTTACACCTTTCAGTTGGGTATTAAAGTCTGAGAGCTGAATCCTTCCCCAGCCTTTCCTCTGAACTTTACTTGTAATATCTGAGCAGCTGGCACCAGATGGGAATGTTCAGGAGAGGGGAAGACCTTGCAAAACATGGCAAGGTTAAATTAGATGTGAGTTCAGTGTTGGTGCTGCTCTGAGTGTAGCCCTTGCAAAGGGGATGTGGCCACCTTCCTTGATGGAATCATTTAAGGCCAGATTGGATGGGGTTTGGAGCAACCAGGTCTAGTGGAAGGTGTCCCCACCCTTGGAGCTGGATGATCTTTAAGGTCCCTTCCAACCCAAACCATTCTGTGATCCATTCCATGATTCTGTGACTACCAGGGAGGAGCTGAAGTTTAATGAATTCCTGTCCCATTTTCTTATCATGCAGTAGCAATTACATAATTAGGGGATTACTGCAGCATCTCAAGCACGTGTCCTGCTCATGGGGAAGGAGGGAGATCAGGGTTAGAAACAAGACAGATGAGAAACTTCAGTGTCAGTAGTTTGTCAACCGGTGGCGAGGATTTTAACCGCTCCCTCCATGGACTCCGCTAACAAATATAAACGTGGATTTTTCGCTGCTATAAGTGCATGAGCAAAATGCTGATGAAATTTTCATGGGCTGTTATTTTAGCAGGCTGCCTATCTGCTCAGGGTTGTCCTTCCCAGCTGACGACTGCTTTGGGAGCAACCTATCCCGTTAGCGTTCACATAACTCGGGAGGTGCGAGATTGCTGCCTGTGTGGAAGAGCACTTGAGTGACTTGAATGTTAGCATATGAGCTCAGGCTCGGCCTGTGGTGTTTGCCCCAGGTGTAAGTGTCAACAAAATCCTCCTTTCAGGCTGGTGAAGGGCACAGCTTATCACTGGGACCTCCTGCTCGTCGCGCTGATCAACACGGGGCTGTCCGTGTTCGGCCTGCCCTGGATCCACGCGGCCTTCCCGCACTCCCCGATGCACGTCCGGGCCCTGGCCTACGTGGAGGAGAGGGTGGAGAGCGGGCACATCTATGAGACGTAAGTAGGAACTGTGGGGACGTCTTGGATCTCTTTTGGTTTCACTTGTGGTTTCCCGGCCCTTTGGGAGCAGTGGGTTGCGTGGTTGTGGAGTTTGCTGTCGTCTTGAGGGTGAAAGCGGAGGGAGGATGCTCCAAAAGAAGTCACCTCAGCCAGCACCCTGCAGGAACTCCACCCACTCCAGTGCAGATTGTCCTCTGGAAGGGTCAGCCAAGGCCTTTTTCGGTTTTGTCCTTGTGGGAAGCTCAGGAGATGCTTAGGGCCAGGTCTTTCCAGATGTGTCCACCACAAAGAATCCAGGCTGATTCACTGCCTCAGACCTGCCTGGTGCTTATTACGAAGGGTGGGAAAAATGCACCATGATTTCAGAGCTCCCATAACATCCTCCACCACATTTTGGGAAGGCAAAATGCTTAAATTCTCTTGGTTTTAAGCAAAAGCAAATGTGAAATCAGGCCTGGGCCACAGCTTTCTATTTAAGACCAACTTTTTTGCTGTTCTGAGTTGAGCAACAGATTCTTATCAGAGACCTATAAAAAAAAATAAATTAAAAACCTATTTCTCATGAAACCTGCTCCAGAGTAGAGATTGTCTGGCCTGTTTGATCTCAGTGTGTTACAGCTGAGTGCTTTTACCACAGAAGTGGTAATTTCCACTCACATGCCATTAGTTTTAATTATCCTGCCTTGGTTTCATTTTCTGAGTTGCCACTTATCAGAAGTGAGGCTAAGTGGTCATTTACTTTGGGGGATGGGGTGGGTCTGTCTTGATTCCACCCTCGCCTTCACACTGTTCTTGGTGCCAGCTGACCCAGCCCAACCAGGCACAGCTGCTTTTTGGGTCAGGGATGGACAGATTTCACCTTCCACATCTGGAAACTGCTGGGTCCTGCTGCTCCCTGCAACTCTTTTACAGATCTTTCCTGGGAGATCAGTCCCTTGAGCTTGCATTCCCATTAGTATGTGTTGCTATCACAGCTATATCACAGAACCACAGAATATCCTGAGCTGGAAGGGACCCACAGGGATCATCCAGTCCAACTCCTGGTCCTGCACAGACACCCCAGAAATCCCACCCTGTCCCTGAGAGTGTTGTCCAAACCCTCCTGGAGCTCTGGCAGATTGGGGTCCATGAATATAGTAAATGGTAAACCCTTTTAAAAAAAAAAATCAACTTTGAAATTTGAGTTCTGTAGGGTTTTAGTCCATGCCCTTGCTCCTTGTGTCCATGATCTGCTCTGGGATGCCTCTACTCTCCATTTCTTTGAGAGCTGTAGAATTTACACTTTGAAAGCCACATGCCAGCCCTCCCTCCTTGTCTCCTGTTGCCAGTTTTAATACCTGGTGTCTTTTTCCCTGTTTTTCCACTGTCTTGATTCTTCATTCTGGCTTCTCCTTGACAAAGTCAAGTCCCCTGCCTGAATTAAGGACTAATTCCTGTCCTTGTCCTCTCTTCCTTCATCCAGCTGCCCAAAACTGAGCATCAGAGAGGCCTCTCTGTGATTATCCTGGGAGAGCTGAGGGATGCCCTGACCTCACTGAGGGTGTTCCCTCACAGCCAAGCTCCTCTCTGCTGGAGGCAAATCGGTGCTGTGAGCTGGATATTGGGAGTGAAGAAGGGAATGAGGATTTCCTAGTGCTTTGAACTCCCTTTGAGACCAAAGCTTTTTGTTCTCTGCAAAGCACTGAGCTATAACAGGAGACTCCAAGCAATGTAGTCATCCTTTTTTTCCCCTTCCCCCCCTCCTCAGCCAGCTCTGCTGCAAGAGGAACAAAATGAAGCTCAATTAGAAAATCAGCTCTGTCTCCCTTGGCAGGCTCCTTTCCTGCACTCAAATCAAAGCTCTCACAGGATGATGATACAAACAAGAATAAAGATCAGCCACAATGAAAGCAAAATTTTCTTCTCCCTTGTAGAGGAATGATTTGAGTTTCCTGTGTCAATCTGCAAACAGGCACTCGTTACTCACATGGAGAAGTTCGGGAATGGCTAATTCCATCCCAGCCATATTTAAGGAATTTTGAGGAAATGAGCCTGGATTATACTCTTTAATCTTTATTAATTACTTTATTTCCATCGCAGCACAGGCTTTCTGGAGCTGTTTCCTCATGGGCCAAACCAGACTTTGAGCACATGGAAATCAGGGTTTCTTCTGTTCACTTAATGTGACTGTGATGTCCTCACCCTGGAAATGAGAAAAGTGTTAGAGTTAACAGAAGGCCAATTTAAGGCTGGGAACATCAGCTTTAAAGATGTCATGTTTGGTTAATTATGAGCAATTTTAACTGTGTTCTTATAAAATATTCCAAACTAATAAGTGCCATTAGCAGGAGCTGGCAGGAGTCGTTGCAGTACATCTTCTGTGTGATCAGTGCTGTGATTGCTGCATCCCCAGGAGAGGACTGTAGAAAATTCCCTGAGCTTCAAGAATCTGTTCCCAAAGGGCTGCTGCTCTGAGCAGTTCTGCACTTGCAGAACTGGTTGAAATGTGGTGCCTTCAGAGCTCGTTTTGCTCCTGAGCTCTTTGATTTGCATGACTTCACTTGCAGACTTGTGTGTGCCTGCAGGTCTTGAGCAGTCACTTGGATGGGTCAGATCTTTGCCTGAAAGAGCAGAAATCCTGCCTCTCTAGGTTGCCTGATGATGAGGCCTGGGAAGCTCTTGCTCTACCTGGATGAGGCTGATTCAGTTAGTGGATCCTTTAAGTCCTGCTTCACTGGGCCACTGGAGTGGTTCTGGTAGCTCTGAAGTTGTCTGACCACTCCTTGTCAGACTGAAAGTACTTCGAATGAGCAGTTGCAGTTGCACTTTAAGTTCTGATCCTCTCCAAGACTTCTGTTCTGTGGTGATTCAGACCTGGAGGCAATGGGGAAGATGCCAAACTATATCCACTTAGGTGTTGTCCCAGTTCTACCAGAGCTGGAAAGAGTGAAGTTCTACTCTCCCTCAGCTTTTCCAGGCAGGGGCAGGGACCCCTTGACACAGGAGACCTGCAAGAGGATCCAAACAAAGTCTGTTTGGAAGGAGTAAAGCTGTGGTTCCTGCTGTTTAAACCTGTTTAAAGGTCACTTAAAGGTTAACACCTCTGTGCATCCTGCCTTGGTAATCCTGGATAATGTGTATGATCTGCCCCATTACTCACTGAAGAATGCCAGTGTTGTCCTCAGGACTCTGTGTACTGTTTGTGGTGTCTGTTGTTCCTCAGGTCTCATGACTGATGGTGTTAATTCTGCCTGGTTATCCAAATCCTCAGAGCAAGCTTTAGGCTGCTCCCCTTTCCCTCCCTGTCCAAATACAGGTGTGGAAAGGCTCCTTCATCCCCACAGCTTCATTATGCTCCTTGAATGTATGAACAGATTTGAAGTTCAACCTGACCTTACTCATAAGCAAAACTTTCAAATTTAGTATTTGAATAATTCACTGGGGAGCAAACATCTTAATACTGAAATAATTCACTGGGGAGCAATCTTCTTTAGGACAGGAGGGATTGTGAAGTCCCAGCAGTGCCTCTGTAAAGGAGGGAGGTGTGTTTTGATACATCTTTTGTGTTAATCCTCAAAGAGGTTTATGTACAGGGTTAATTCAGAATGTGAGGGGTCTCATCCAGGGAATGAGGTCACTAAATGGCACCAAAACACCATTTTTTTCCTGATAATAGTGGGATTTACTCACTGGCTTATCCACTGCGTTGGTGGATTTATCTTCTTGAAAAAAAAAGTTAAGAATCCTCTTTTTCTCTGTCAAGTGCTCTTGACAGATGAGGCATTTCTTTCCTCCTATTGTCTCTGGTAATTTTTTTCAACCCAGGAGATGCTCACAGGTTTAGTTGAAGTGAAAGGAAAACAAAGCAACCTGCCCTGGAGCAGGTTCTGAAAGCTGCTCCATGCTTTCCTGTCAGTGTTCCCCTCAGAAAAAAAAAAAAAAAGAAATCAATCTGTGGCCTGTCAGCTCTGGAAAATTTGCATTAATTAATTACATGTTTTGCATGGTAATCAGCAATTTGCAGCACAACACAACTGCTGTTGCCCACAGGAGAGCTGAGTCCCTACATGGTGCTCTCAGCATTCCCTTCCATGTAAACAGGGAGATCCTCGAATCCATCAAAACTGCTGACTCGCTGTCAGGAGAGTGCAGGCGTTGTTTTCTTTTTTTTTTTTTTTTTACAAGAGGTTCATTAGTTCCTGGAGAGGCCAATGAGTTTTCTTTGGGATAGAAGCCAGTTGCATATGCAGTGGGTAAACCCAGGGAAGGATTACTGCCCAGAAAGAGGATTCTTGGCTGGTTTGTTTTTGGTTTGCGTTTTGTTTGGTTTTTGGTTTTGTTTGGTTTTTGTTTTTGTTTTTTTGCATTGTGCTAAACAGGATCAGTTCAGAGGGCAATTTAGTTCAGGGGTAGGATCTGTGGAGCTTTGCAGAAGGTGAATTTGGCGTTTTTCCAGCTGCTCTGCTTGAGCTGTGGATGAAGTGCCTGGCCTGGATCCAGCAGGGCTCTGCCTCCTCGGTGTCAGAAGTGCTGATCTCAGTGTGGTGGAGATGAGCTTCCCTTTCCCGAGTGGCACGTGTCCTACATGGAGCAGGGATGAACTTTCCAGGGTTCTGGGGTATTATCCTACTCCCCTAATCCCTGTTTTCTTGCTCCCAGGATCGTGAGCGTGAAGGAGACCCGGCTGACGAGTCTGGTGGCAAATTTCTTGGTTGGGCTGTCGCTGCTGCTCCTGCCTTTCCCCCTCCAGTGGATCCCAAAGCCGGTCCTCTACGGCCTCTTCCTCTACATTGCCTTGACCTCCATTGATGGGAACCAGCTCTTTGAGAGGGTGGCTCTGCTGCTCAAGGAACAGGTACATGGAATGGGACACCACAGCTGGAAGCTGTGCTCCAAACCTGAGCACACGACCATCCAAACTTGTGGGGTGTTTGGGAGTTTTCAAACCCCCACTGTGATGTTTTGTCAGCTGCAGAGTATGTGCATTTAAAAAAAATAATGTAAAATATTTAAAGCATAACATCAGGAAATGGTGATCTTTTGATTTCCCCCACAAAGCTTCAGGCAGGTAATTTTTTTTGCTGTATTTTTCACTTTCATTTTGTATGAAATGCCACAAGAGAGGATTTTAAACTCAAAATGAAATGACTTGCATTACTGAAACCTGTCTGATGTGGGATGAAAACAAACCTGGGAGATATGTTTTCAAGCCCTCTCTATTACAGGTGCTAAAAAGGTGTTGGTTTTCAGTGTAGGAGGTACCTGGAGCAAGTCTCCAGCTCCTCTTATGTAACAAGGGTCAAGGGCTTAATAAGCCCAACGTTTGGCTCTGCATCTCTGCTAATCTATCTTGATCTCTAATATTACATCCCAGAGGTTAAAACTGTGCAAGTTGGGTAAAGATTACATTTGTCATGTCAATTTTTGAATGAGGGTTGAACAGCTCCTGAGGTATGTGACTTATTACTTCTGGGTCTAGTGCGAATTACGTGTGGAATTTTCCAAGCTTTGGTTTGGAAAATTAAAAAGTATTCTTGAATATGGAGATCTCCCCTTTCTCTGGAAGCCTTTTAATGAGTCATGGCACAATCTGAAACCCATGGAATCTGTACCAGTGCCAGCAGACAGTCGCTCATACTCTTCATTGATGTATAGACAGTGAGTCAAAGCCTCTGCTCAGACATGAGCAAGGAACTGTCAAAAGAAAACCACCATATTTAGCCTATTTATGTCATTCCCCCCCCCCCTTTATTCCTCAAAAATGATTAGCTTGTAGGAGTGGAGAAAAGCACTGCAGTCTGAGCACAGCCCCTTCCTGCACCTCCCTGATCCCAGCTCCTGGTCTTCCCCTAGTGGGGTTCAGCCAAGAGGTGGGAGCAGCAGGGGCAAGGATGGAGCCTTATGAAGGGTATAAAATCACGAGGAGCTGGGTCGTAGGTGGAGAAACCACCCAGCAGTGACAGCACCCGGGTGCATCTGCTCCCCATCACCCCCTGCACACCCCACAGGCCCTTCAGATGCTGCTGCAGGGCCCTGACAGTGCTCCTCAGGGGAATCTCATTACTGCACTTATCAAGATATTACATTGCACTCCAGATGCTCCCAAAGGCACTCTTGGCTGCGTGGTGTCTTTCCCTCTCCTGGTTCCCAGTGCTCAGTCATCCTCCCAGTGCTGCTGCCAATGCTGTGGTTTGAGGCACTTGGTTTAACCCTCTGAATCCCACGTTGAGCTGTTGAACCTCTCAAGGACCTGATGTTGTGCAGTGTGTGCGCAAATCCGTGTCTCCCCTAAAACCCTGGAGTCCCAAATCCCGTGCCACGTCCTCCCATCACAATTCCAGGTCTCTGGGTGTCTGATGTGTGGCTCTTCCCTCCCCAGACCGCGTATCCTCCAACCCATTACATCCGCAGAGTGCCCCAGAGGAAGATCCACTATTTCACTGGCCTGCAGGTCCTGCAGCTCCTCATCCTCTGTGGGTTTGGGATGTCACCGCTGCCCTACATGAAGATGATCTTCCCACTCATCATGATAGGGATGATCCCCATCAGGTATGAACCTTGGCTGCCTTTTTTTTTTCCTTTCTTGTCTCTTCCATGTTTTTTTGTCTTCAGGTTTGGACTGCTGGAAGTCCAGGGAGAGGAGAAACTGTTGGAGCTGGGCCTGTTTAGTCTGGAGAGGAGACTGAGAGGGGATCTCATCAATCCATACAAATATCTCCAAGGGGTGTCAGGGAATGGTCCCAGACCCCTTTTGGTGGTGCCCAGAACATTAAGGAGCAATGGCCATGATCTAAAACACAAGAAGTTGCACCTCAACGTGAGGAAGAAGTTCTTTATGTTGAGGGTGGCAGAGCACTGGAACAGCTGCCCTTGGAGGATGTGGAATCTCCCTCTCTGGAGACATTCCAAACCTACCTGAACATCTCCCTGTGTCACCTGCTCCAGGTGACCCTGCCTTGGCAAGGGGGTTGGACTGGATGATCTCCAGAGGTCCCTTCCAAGCCCAACTATTCTGTGACTGAAGTCTGAGTGGTTCAGAAGTACTTCCCAGAGTACCCAGCTCCTGGCAGTGGGTGGTGGTGACCTCCTTCTCACCGGGCTTGAGGAGGAATCATGCAGAGAGCCTGTGATTTCACTGCTGCTGGGAGTCATTCCAAGGGTTCTGGGCTGGCAGGTGCTGCTCTTCCAGCTGCCCAAGAGGCAGAAACTCTCCTTTTAATGCCTGATCTTCGTGAGAAGCTTCAATCTGAGCCTTCCCTCTAAGTGATATTTGATAATGTTCCTCATGGCTTTGCAATTTGATTTCCTCAGGCCAGTGCTCAGAGCAGAGCTGGAAACTTCTCCTAAGAGGAATCCTTATCTCTTATTTGGTGCTGGGGTGACTTTGCAGACTTCCTGCGCTGCTGGAAGCCACTGCCAATGATCAGTCAGGTCAAACTGGCCACATTTAGTCTTAAAATGATCTTTAGAAGTGGAAGGGCATCACAATATCTTGAGTCTGGAGAGAGAATTGTTGAGAAATTTAACTAACTTCTTCCTCAGTGTTCATTAGCAGTGACTGCCCATCATTCTCCAGTTAAATCATTCATGCTCTCAATCCTTTGGATATAATGAGAAGCCATAATAAGATCTTGGAAGGAGCAGATCTGTTTCCAGTCCATTTGATTATTTTTAGGCCAGCCTGGCATCCAGTGATATCTGGTTGACTTTGAGCTTGCAGTCTCAGAGATCTTCTCTCTGATCTCAAAGTTCAGGGCTACCAGTGTGATAATCTCCAAAGGCACCTGTTGTGGTGTTTTCCTTGGCTGGTAAATGTGGGTCCAGTTCTTCCTAAAACAAAAGCAAATGTCAAAGCTACCATGGCTTTCAACAGGATCAGGTTAGAGCTGCTTGGGCTGGGTTTTTGAAGATAAACAGTCTTGGAAAACACTGAAGTCATTGTTCCTGTGGTAAGAATCTCTCACCTGCCCTTCACATTGGTGTTGCTTTGGGTGAGTGGATCAGTGGCTGGTAAATACTCCAGCTCTGTGCAGTGCTGGGGGATTGACTCTGGTGGGAATTGGAGGTTTCCATACAAGGAAGCTCAGCACAGAAAAGAAAACGTGGGACACTCTTTTTGCTAAATAGTCAATTCTTGGACATAGTATAACAAACTAAATTAGTGTGGAGAGAATTCTCTGTCGAAGAACCTGATTTTGTAATAAGAGTGGAATAATGCAGTGCTGCAAATATGTCTTCTTTTGAGTACATAAGATACTGCCACCTCATACTCTGTGTTTCTCATTTCTCTTTCCAGAACAGTTCTTTCTTAGGAGCTGGATAACCAGCCCTGCTGCTCAGGGGAAGATGCTGCTACCTGGCACAGCCCAGAAATTTGCCCTTGGCTTTCCTTCCTCTCGTTTCTTCTGCTTTCGTGTAGTTTCTGTGGCCTCCAGCCAAGAAGGCAGCACCATGATCCATGAGCTCTGTAGTTAATGACTTTTTTCCAAGGATTTGGCACTCTAAATAGATGAGACAGAGTGGAAGAAATTAAATATATTTTCCTTTTTCATTTTTTTTTAAGAAGTGAAGGGAGGAAGAGGAGATGGGACATCAGCCAGGGGTCAAAGTCAAGAATCAAACACAAATGAGTGAGACGTGACTTGGTGTCCCATCCAGAACACCAGCCATGTCTCAAAGCCCCATTTCCACCTGTCCAACAGCATTAGACACATGATTTGCATTGCCAGTGGTGAGGGACCACTGGTGTGCTCTTAATGTGAGAGATAATGAGAAGCCATTGAAATCCATTATTGCAGTGGAAGAAAATGTGATCTCTGGGTATCCCCAGTTCCTGGCTTTCATCCAGAACTTTAGGATGACTAGTTTTTGGTTGCTGAGAGAAGGATCATCTTCTTTCCAAGCATTCTGTGATGCTCATCTTGTCCTCCCATGGCTGTCAAGCATTTCATTTTATGGTGGGTCTGTTTAAGGAGATCCTGGTACTTCTCAGCAGTAGCTGATGTTTGGGATCTCTTGCACAGCTATTTAAGTCCCAAACTGGGCTTTCTGGTGCCTTGTGCCTTATTTTAACAGCTGAGGAACACCTTCCTTGTTAAACAAGGGAAAGTGTCACACTAAATATGCAGGAGGATTTAATGAAAGCAGCTCCAGAGCATATTGTTAGAGCACCACACCTTTGTCACCCAAATACGTCAATCCTTGAGGATGTTCTTGCAAACAAACAAATTTTAAAAAAGCCCAAAAGTAAGGGAATCACTGTCTCCACAATCCAATGGAGAATCTTGCTGATACATTTGATGCTTCTCTGAAGACCAAAGCTTCTGGTTTACCTGTCAAAGCTTCATTGTGGTGACAGCTGCAAGGAGCGACTTGGGGTACTCAGAGAACTTTTGTGTGCAGCTCTTTGAGCCAGCAAGTGATGAAAAAAAGTAGAAATTAAAAATAAACGGGGATTCGTGGCAAAGCAATGCATCCATTTGCAAACTGGAGGCAGCAGGAAGGCACTACCTGGGTGCCCCAGCACAAACCAGGAGTGTAGATTTGGGTGGGGGTGGTACAATTTTGGCATCTTCAAGACTTTGGGGTGACAGAGCACTTTAGGAAAGCTGCTTCTCTCCTGTGAGGCTGAGGAGATTCTCTTTCCTTTTCAGCTGACAGGAGAAGGCTCCTTCCAGAAGGAACTTTGCACTGTTGTTCCTGTCAATGTTGTATTTGCTTACAGGATTGGTTGTTTTCACTGTCCCCCATTTCTCCCCTTCAGCTGGGAGAGAATCTCATGGACAAACTCGACCGGGGGAGTCGTGGGGCGGACAAAAAAAATGCTCCGTGGCTCCAAACAAGCACTAACCTTATTTCTCTGTTTCAACCCTAGGTATAACCTGCTCCCAAGGATCATTGAAGCCAAGTACTTGGATGCTATGGATGCAGAGCACTAAAGGGGGGCCTCCCCCCAAAGGACAGCCCATTTGGAGTGGGAACAGGCGGCTTTTCCGAGGCGCAGGACAATCTAATGCACTTCTTTCCTTCACCACTTTCTCTCTGCTCTAACGTGGCAGCACACACCTGTCAGAGACCAAGGGAATGCTGGAGTGTCCCAAACCAGCCTTGGACTTGGGAGGACGATGCTCTTTGGAGCTGTGAGGCGAGCAAGCTTTGTGGAAAATGCTACTTCCCACATCCCGAACCCGGGAACCCCAAAGATCAGCATGTCTGTACGGTTGGAGCATGGATTCAGAGTTGTTCCCTCTTTTCAGGGTGGGGGGAATTCTCTCTTTGTGTTTTTATGCACCACATCCTATTCTTCCCAAACACTAAGGACACCAACTGACCCTTCTTTTGCAGAATGACAGCCTTGTCCTGGCCTTTGAGTTTGATTTCCCGTGCATCCATATTCCCAAATGGGTTTTCAGGGTGGGATGGCCTCGTGCTAAACCACTGATGGCAAGAGAGGTTTCTGGCCACTCTTCCAGATTAGTGGGTGTTTGGAAACAGCTGTAACATGTATTGATACAATCCCCAGCTTTGGATGAATATTTAATTCTTGCAAAAGAGCTTGGAAACATCCAGAGGTTGAGCTCTCATGGCGATGCTGATGAAACCACAGCTGGGTCTGAGCTATTTGGGAATTATTTTGGATTTTCTGCCATTCCTTCTTGGTGATCAAACCCAGAATTGTAGTTTTGCACAACTGCAGCATTTTTTTTTTCTTGCACCCAGAGTCAGATCCTCATCCCAGGGCAGTTGTGTTATGGTTGCATATACATATGTACAGGAGTGCCTATGTGTACATATATACATATGGATTTGTGTATATATTTTGCATAGATATACAGATAGGCCTGATTCTTTCCAAATATCCAAAGTGTTTTGTGCAGTCAGTGTTTCCCATGATTGCACTTGTTCTCTGCTTCAGTGCTGCTTTTTCTCATTTTGAGATATGGTCACTTTTTTTTTTTTTTCCCTTTGGAAGCTGCTCAGTTACTGGTTTTGTTCATGTGTTGCTTTATTCAAGGTGTTCCTTTGCTTCCTTCGTCCTGTGGCTTGAGACCTTCATCATTCTGTCCTGATGCTCCAACATGTGAATTTTGCCTTTAATTTCCATGTACAGAATGCAATGAAAAGTTTTCCTCTCTCGCCTAATCAATATTTGTTGGTCATTTCACTGTTTCTGTTTTGTAGCTGATCTCCAGTTTCCCCCCCCTCACTCCCAGGTGTTATATTATATTTCTGGATGAATTGAACTTCTGCTGTCTTTTATAAGTTCAGTTTATTTAATTTTGCTCGTAGTGTGGTCAGGTTTGGGTTTTTTTTTTTTTTTTTTTTTGGAGTACTGTGAAACAAGCTGCCCTTTGGTTCAGAGCTTTGCCCCTTGCTGCACATCAGAGGTCACAGGTGGAGCGTTCAGAAAGTGGTGGGCCCTGAAAATGACCTTTCAAAGCAGTAGAAATGAGGGAGGGAGAGCAACAGAAGACGAAATGCAAATATGTCAGCACAGAGAAGTGTTTTCTTACCAGTTGCTTGCCCGGTAAACGGTGCAGAGTTTTTATCAGTGGGGGGGTTCCTCCCACCCCCCCCTCTGCACAATGAGGGGGACCAGCCCTATAATGAGGGAGGGTGTAAAGCTGTGCTGAAACTAAGCCAGGCTCAAACCACTGAAGATTTGGTGTGTTTGCACTAAATTCAGAGGGTATTTAACCTTTTTGTAGCACTCAAGCACGTGTGTTAAAAACCAATTTTTTCGTTTCCTTACCAAACCCTTCATCTTTTGTATTGATCCCTGATGGAGGAGGGCAGTGCTGGGAGTGTTCCCAAGAGCATGGCCATGGTTTATGTATCCCTGAGGAATCCCAGGGGAAGGCCCTGAGCTCAGCAAGCAAAGCAACACTGTGTGATCCTAAAACCATGACCTTCATGTGGCACCAATCTAATCTCGTGGGGCTGCTGAGGAGTCCCAGGGTCAGGGTGGCCACCCCAGCGCATCAAAGCAGGTTGTTTGGCTTTCAGTCCCCCTCAGAGGGAGCAGGAGGAGCTCAGGCTGTGTCTGAGCAGGGCCAGGACAGCAGGAATTAAACCTGTGTGTGGTTTCTGACGCTTTTCTCGGTATTTCCTGGCTTTTGAGTCACTTCTGGGCTGAGATCACAGGTAGCTGTAACCAAGGCCTGTGTGTAGGAACAGGATTGTGGAGGTGGTGAGAGTGTGTCTGATCTCCAGTCAGCAGAAAAAGGGCAGGTGACAGCCAACAGCTCGGGACCTGTTGTGAGACAGGGAGTGCAAAGGCCTGATGAGGCTGAAATAACATGTTTTTCCCACAGATGTCAAAAGATTTAACCAAAGCTGCAATCAGAAGTGTCATCCTGTGGTGGAGTAAAGCTGTAAAACACACGTGCCCCGGGGGTGAATTTGTGGTGTCTCTGCTCTCCACAGGGAAAAGTCACCTTGTGGGGTGGTTTAAATCCTGTTTTGGATGCTGGAGCTGGAGGAAGGAGGGGATGTGCCCAAGGGAATGTGGCTTTGGTCCTCTTTGAGGAAGAGCAGAGGCTCTGGGCGGGATTTCCACCAGCACAGAGCCACAGTGGGGTGAACTGGCCTGCAGGTCTTGCCAGAGGAAATAGTTTTGAGATGTACCCTCCACTCCTCACTTAAAGGACCAAAACCACCCCCGTTAAAGCCTCTTTGAAAGCACCAATTTCAGATGGGGTCAGATGTTGCTGAGATAACGTAAAATGCAGGTAGCAGGGAGGGTTAAATATCCATCACAACTCTTGTTTATATCCTTTATTTTGTTTTACCAGTGTGACTTCAGTGTTTGTGTTTTCTTTGTAGCATCAGTAGGATTCTGTTTTGCAGGGGTTTCATTCTACAGGGGCCCAAACAGGAAAAAAAAGAAAAAAAAAATCAACTGATGGGAAATCAGCACAATTTGGGGGGCAAAAAAGTTGTGCTGTCTTAGACTGGTTGAACATTTGGACCCATTTCTCCAATATATGGGTAGAAGGGAGATGTATGGAGGCCTCTTGTCTCCTGAGGGTTTGTCATGATCCTGCAGAGGATTATTTTTATTTTTCATGCCTTTTCTCTTCTCGTTTGCTTCTGGTTTTGCTGACTCAAGTGCAGGCGTTTCCAGGAAGTGGGCTGACCAGGGAAGGAGGGTTTGTTCAGAGTTGATTGAACACTTTAATACTTCTGTGAAGGTTGAGACAATTAGAATGTAAAAGAAGATTTATTATAAGCTCTTTATATACGCACAATGCTCTGTGTAACTGTTGCCAAAGAACTGGGTTTGAGAGATGAGCTACTGGGAGAGTCCACGGTGTTCACCTGGGACCACAAGGTAGGGAAAAGCTGCTGGAACGAGTGGACTTGTGGAAGTTACTTTTTGACAGCTGCCAAAATGATCAGAAACTGGGGAGAGAATAAACTTCTGCTCTCAAACGTGTGGTTTTTGATCCTTGCATTGAATGTAGGAGCGAGAATGAGCTTGACAATTAAAGTTGGATTTATACCTGAATAGTTTCCTTGGTCTGAGACTTATTTTGTTGCCTTCAAAAATAATCTTGACGTGCTTTGTATGGAAATGGATGTGTTTCTCCATGTAAATTAAGGGAAGTTGGTGAAAACAGGGAGTGCTGAACAAGCAGGGCAGCACTTTCGGGATTGCTTAGGAAGCGAATCTGACAACTCCACCAGCAACAACCCCCAGACTCCCAGGAGTCAACATGTGAAGCTGTTAATAAATGTCAGGCTCTGCTTGGATGTGCATCAGTGCCTTGCTGTGAAGGGATGGGGATGGAGTGAAGGAATTCAGCCGGTTTCCTCCAGAGCTGCTGAAATGCTCCAAGGTGAGCCCCAAAGACTGTGGGATGTGACCCCTCTTCCCAATGACCTGTGAGAACTGGGATGCTCTGAATAGAGATCTGGAAGATGGTCACTCTGGGGTGGTACTGGGGGTCACAGAGTTCTCCCCAGAAGATCCACATCAGCTGTACCCAAAGACTGAAACTCTGTCAGCTTTTGCCTGTGGTGTCTGGCTGCTTTAGAACCTGGGCTGTGTTCTGTGGACACTCCTTGGAGAAACATGAAGTTGGCCAAAGCTGGTGAGAGCTGGAGAACACTCAGGGGTGGGAGGGAAAGGGTTGGCAACAAAAATGGTTCTGAGACCTGTTGTGTCACCAAAAGCACCTCCTGTTTCCCAGTCTGTGTCCTACCAAGCATCTGCACCATCACTGGCACACGTTTATGTTCCTCCTTGATAAAGTTGGGTTTTTTTATTGTTTGTTTACATTCTGAATGTGCCCTTTGGAGTGTTTTGCCTGCCTGGAAGTTTAAAGGGCAGAACCAGTCTTGGCTCAAGCTCGTCTCTTGTGTCTGTTCCCCCTAACCCTCAGCACAAAGCCATTTTCTGTCATCTCCTGACCCCGCTCTTCACTTCCCCAGCCCTCCTCTGGAAGCTGGCTCTGGAATCTCCACCGTGGAAATTCTGCCAAAGTGCCAAGTGGGAATTTTTCTCTGGAGAACTTGAGCAACAGTGTGGCAGTGGCTGCTCCTTGGGGCTTGCTTTGCCATCATAAGGAATTCTGAAGGACTCATAACTCTCCAACAGTTGCACTGTCCTCTGCTTCTCTTCAGCTGTCGTGGCCCAGTGTTCCAGTTGGGCTGTCCTGCTTTTGTTTTTCAGGCTTCCAAAACAGCTCCAATGGACATAATGGGATGGGTTTGCCCCATTTTTCTCTCTGTGTTGAGGCCTGTGGATGTGAGAATAGTCTCCTCTAATTGTTTTCATATCTGATGAAGGCATTTAAGTGCCAAACCCTGGCCAGTGCAGGACTGGCTGCAGAGAGCAAACTATCATTGTTGTGGAAGAGCAGACAGAGGAGGGAGTTGCTGGAGCACATAGAAACACAAATTAGCACTTTTCCTCTTACAGCTTTTGTGTGTTTTCCTTTCACACCAAGACAATCCCTGGTTCTGTCTTTCCTCCCCTCGTACAAGATGCTGCATGAACTTGGAATCACTTGGCTCTGTTCTGCTGTCACATTAAATATTTAAGAGCCTGTCCTGGGGGAGGTGCTGCCTTCTGCTTCCCATCTGCATCCCTGCTGCAAAGAGCTGCTGCCTTGGAGGGCTGGAGGCTGCACCTCATCCCTGGGACAAATCCTTGCCACTGCAAAAGCCAGCAGGGCCCCTTCTGTGCCCACAGGTGGGAACCCAAAAAGAGGAACAAAATGCAAGGAGCTGGAAAAACGGCTTGCAATTAAATTTTCTCCTTCTTGAGCTGAGCTGTGCTGGCACTTCTTAGCATGTAAAGAAAAAAAAGAAAAAGGAGCTCTCTGGCAGTGAAGTATTTATGTGACATGAGGGTGATATTTGTGTCATCCCCAACACTTGGAGCACTTGAGCATCTCAGCTGTGCGTGTAAGAACACACATCTTATTTGTGGGAGGCTGGGGAGCCAAAAATTGGATTATTTCATCATTTAATGGGGAAGGATAAGAAATAATTGCACCTTTTACCTGACGTGGTGCCCTGAGAGCATCTGGACCTGGCTCTGACTTCCTTGGCATCATCCAAACCAGAGATGAGCCCCAAACCTGGTGAATACTGTCACAGTTGAGCCTGGGAATGACCCACTCCTGCAAGGAGTAAATTCTCTAGGATCCAGGCTTGGATAGTTGCCCTCCAGCTCCCTCAAGCATCCTGGAGGAGCTCCCTGTGCTGGAAGAGGAGATTTTGAGTGTGAACACAAGCTGAGGTTGAGGTGAGGGTAAGGCTGAGAATGGCTGGGGAGGGTCTCAAAGCATCATCTGGGAAGAGCCAGAGCCTGCAGCCCTGTTCCTGGTCTCCAGCCACTGCATCTCCCCAGGTCCTCTGGGATTCCTCTCCCAGGTCTGGTCTCCACCAGGAGGAGCAACGTTGGTGACCCTCATATAAATGCATGTAGATAAAATAAAATAGACGTGGGAAACAGCAGGCCAAGGGGGAGGCAGTTTGTGTGGTGCTGACTTTGGAGGGCTGCAGGGCACGTGGGCAGCCTCAGATTCCTGGGATGTGAGGTGCTCCACACTCTGCCATGGGGATTGTTGTGATGTGCCCATCCCTGGGGCAGGGCAGGGGTGCTCAGACCGTGTTTGCTGCACCAGCCTTGTACCATCCCATTGGCAAGAGAGAAGAAATGGGGTCAGGGGAGGCTCAGGAGCTGTTTTTTGCAGCCCTCTGTTGCTCTTTCAGGATGACTGGAGAGCTTAAGTGTGTTCTATCCAAGGCTATTCCCTCCTGGACATGCTGGAGACCTCAAGCCCAGGATGGAAGAACTGGTAAAAAGTGGTTGTGCCCCCATCAGACAGAGCCTCCTGGGAGATGTGGGGTCACCTGGAGGTCCATGGTGCCCCTGTGGGATCTCCCTTCTTCCAGTCCAGGAGGGTCCCTCCCTCAGGTCCCTGCTTGGAGCCCAGGAATAGCCTTGGAAAGCTGGGAATGCTGTGCAGCACCTCTGGGACTCAGGGCTACACCAGGACTGTGAATATGCAGGAATTCAGCAAACCCCTCAGGATGGATGCTGAGGAGCAGGAAGGAGGTGGGAAGAGCGTGTTTGTCACCTTCTGGATGTCACTGCATGGAATTTTAGTGGATGAGCATCTGCCTGGCAGGGCCATAACCCTGCAAGGTGCCAAGTGCCCCTGTTCAAAGCAGATTTCTAATAATAGCTGGTCTAAATGGCAGTGGCATTTGCTGCAGATTGGAGCTGGAGAAGGAAGGGGTCAGATGGGGACATGTTTCCCCCCACCATGTCCTTCCTTCCCCACCAGGACACAAATGTGAAGCTCTGCCAGGAGCTTTGCAGGAGGATTGAAACCTGCATTGGCCAAAAATTACATGGATAAACTGTTCAAAGAGGAGCCAGGCCCCAGGGGTGTGAGCTGGGGGTTTGCCTTGTACCGTGGCTTGGTGTAGAAGGCATGGAAAAAGGGATTATTTAGGGTGGCTGCATCTTCAAACTGCTCTGACTCTGTCAGTAGGTTTCCCTTCTCAACATCCTGCTTTGGTTTAAACTGAAAAGGGGGTTTGGAATATTCCTCCCTGCACTTCCCAGCCCTAAATAGGACTGGACTATGTCCCTGGAGTGTTCCAGGTCTGACAGGGTCTGTCACAGCCCCAGGATGTGCCACTGCAGCAGAGCTGGTGAGAAGGAACCCGTTAACCCCTGTGCTCTGCATTTTAGGGGGATCAGGAACCCAGAGATGGACCAGAAGAGAAGGCAGGAGAAATGTTGCAGCCAAGAGTGGGTCAGATACCTGAAGTTTTTAGTGTCAGAACCAAAAAAAAAAAAAAGCCGTGAACTGAAGCTTATTTATTTATTTATGTTTGGAGTGGGGGTTTGTGATCGGTTTTTGGGGAGCACTTTGCAGCCCCGAGCCCTCCCAGGCACCGAAACCCGCTGTTTTTTCAGCAGGGATTTAATCTGCTGAGAGCAGGTGCCATCTAGGGGACAGACAACAGAAGACAAGGAGGGATTTCACTTCCAAACCTGCAGCGTTGGCTCCACCACACCGGCCCACCTGCACTTCCAAGTGCTTTGGCACCGAGCACAGACAACCCCGGGCTCGAAATGGGGAGTTAGTGGGTGCATGGCGCGATTCAAGCTCAGCCAGCCCCAAATCCTGAGGAGGAAGCACAAATCATGGAATGGTTTGGGTTGGAAGCGACATCAAAGCCCATCCAGTCCCACCCCCTGCCATGGGCAGGGACACCTTCCACTAGTTGCTCCAAGCCCTGTCCAACCTGGCCTTGGACACTTCCAAGGCATTGCCTTCATGCAGCACTTGTGTGCAAAGCCAAGGGCCAGAGGAATCCTCAGAGAAGGCTTTTCTCTAGTGGTTTGCTCTGCAATCACAAGTGGGATGGAGCACTGTGAGCTCAGTCTCTGCAGGCACAGCTCATGTTTCCAGCTCTAGGCTGGCCATGATGTCCTGCAGGAACCTTCCCTTGTCCTGCTGCTCTGCAGAGGGATGTATCCTGCTGGCTTTTAAACTTGGCCAGCAGTACTTGCTCTGCATCACCCACTTGTCTCCCTCAACAATTTGGATGGTCCAGAGGTGTAACAGGACAAGCAGAGAACCACAGAGCCATGAAGGTTGGAAAAGGCCTGTGAGATCATCTGTCCAACCATTCTCCAGCACTGCCAAGGCCATCACTGACCCATGGCCCCAAGTGCCACATCCACAGGGATTTTAAATCCCTCCAGGGATGGGGACTCCACCACTGCCCTGGGCAGCTGTGCCAGGGCTGGACAAACCTTTCCAGGAAAAAAATTTGCCCCAATATCCATCTTAAACCTCCCCTGGCACAGCTGGAGGCCATTCCCTTTCCTCCTGTCCCTTGTTCCCTGGGAGCAGAACCCGATCCCCCCCAGCTCCCCCCTCCTGTCAGGGGGTTGCAGAGCCAGAAGGTCCCCCCTGAGCCTCCTTTTCTCCAAACTTCTCCCCTGCCACCAAGGGGGGGCTGGTTCCACACTGCATGACTCCACCTGAGCCCCAAAACCTAAACCAGCAGCTCCCTCCCTGGATTACACCTAAAATCAGGCTCTGCCCAAGCCCTTGGAACAGGTGGATGGGAGAGCAGGAGGTGGGAATGCTGCACATCCCTGGCTTTGAATAAACAATGAGCACTAATGAGACCAGCTCATTAATAAAACTCTGCCAGATGGGTGACTACAGGTGTGAGCCAGAGCTGCAGGGCCCAAGGGTTTGTGTGGGAAACTTCAGCTAAATCACTCATTCCTCAACCTTTCCACTTCTATTTCAGGTTTTTGGTTTTTCTCCGACTTCTTCATCCCCCTTGGAAATCCTTTTGGCACCACGGGAGGAGCTGCAGGCCAAAAGTTTCCTGTCAGGGGCTTCTCTCCCTCCACCTCCATCCCCAAACGTCCTTCCTGCTTATCCCCATCCTCTCCTGGGACGACCCCACCCGTGCAGGACATCGGGATGAAGCTGCCAGCACGCCTTGCCCTGGATTTATCTGCGATGGGGCACAGAGAAAACTCCTTGAGAGCCCTCCCAGGTAACCAAAAATTGTGATTTCAGCACCAAAAGCTGCCTGTTGTCTGTGCAGACTCCAGCAGAGGGAGCGTGGCTGCCTGGAACGGCATTAAAACCCTCTGCTCGCCAGCAAATCCTCCGTTTGGAGATGAACTATCAGGATGCCTCCTTTGGATGGCGTTTTCCGGTGACATTTCCAATTGCTCCCCATCTGCTCAAACGGCAAAACGTATGGGGAGCCTTTATAAATAACTGAACAGTTTAATTTTATAATTTTTATTTTTCTATTTTTAGGGAGGTGCAGTAAATAGGAAAAACCAAAAACCCGACTCAGAGCTTTAAGTCACAGGTAAATCTTTAACTCGTCCATGCTGGGTCGGCTTTTCCCTTCGTGGAAATGGGATTTTAGGCAGAAAGCCCTTTGCTGGTTGGATCCCCTGGCTGAAATCCTTTGGCTACTGATGTCACCATGTGGGGTGGGAAGCCAAAGGGATGGGAGGATGCAGGAATGGTTAACTGGGCTGAGGACTTCACACCAGGGAATAGGGACAGGGAAGTGTCCAAGGTCAGGCTGGACTGGCCTTGGAGCAGCCTGGTCTAGTGAAAGATGTCCCTGCCCATGGCAGGGGAACAAGAGGATCTTTAAAATCACTTCCAACCCAACCCATTCAGTGATTCCATGAGATCTTGTTCTGATCCAGCCAAAACCGTTCCACTTAAATGCCATAATTTCTTATTTGGGGTCTCTTCTTCGGACACCTTTTGTCCTTTTTAAAATTGTAAGTTGACTTTTGAGGGACAGACATGTGGTTTGAAAAGCAGAAATGCAGAGCTTTGCTGCTTTCCTGGGCCTTCCAAGTGCCTCAGTTTCCCTCCCCCAAGCTCCCATTCAGCCACCACAGAGCTCTGCCAGCCCCATTCCCCAGCCCACATCCCAAGGGAATGAGACTGGCCACCACCGTGGGCTGGACCCCAAGTCAAGGCATTGGTGTCTGGGAGACCCAACGAGGTCTTGGGTGCCACATTCCCACCTCCCTGAGCTGGTGTTTGCTGGGTGAACACCCCTGGGGAAGTGTTCCCTGAGGCTCATCAGGAGGAGATGGGAGCAGGGGAGCCTCAGAGGGAAAGCAGGAGATGCCCATGGAGAGAAGGCGATGATTTGGTCAATTTGGGTCATTGAAACACCTCATTCATCCTTATTCCTGATCCCAACCCCGGGAGAAGCCCCATGGTATCCCCACAGCTTTGGGGCATTGGCCACACTCCTGTGGGAGTGGGTTAAGCTTCCCCATTTTCCAAATCTGAGGGGGTTCGGATACCCCAGAACCAGTTCATCCCAAACTTCTCTCTTCCTCAGAGACGCTCCTTGAAAGCTGGTGGGTCTCCAGTGATTAATTGTGTCCATCTGGGCAGGCTCTGCCTTTCCGAGGGGGAAATGTCCACGCCCGTGGTGCAGGGAGGGTTTGCTTTGGGATCCACACCCGTGGTGCAGGGAGGGTTTGCTTTGGGATCCACACCCGTGGTGCAGGGAGGGTTTGCTTTGGGATCCACACCCGTGGTGCAGGGAGGGTTTGCTTTGGGATCCACCCCGGTGGTGCAGGGAGGGTTTTCTTTGGGATCCACACCCGTGGTGCAGGGAGGGTTTGCTTTGGGATACTGACCCGTGGTGCAGGGAGGGTTTGCTTTGGGATGCTGCTCCCGAAAACATAGAGAGGCGGAGGGGCCTCGGAGCTAATGAG